ACACAAATATCCCGTGGGACAATGCTAAGACAGGTGGAGTTTCTGAGGAGTCAGGGCAGTGCTGCCCACTGAGGGGGCAAACAGCTCCTGAGTCAGTCACGGATCCTCACTGCAGAGAAAAGCAAGCCCAGCTCCTGCTCAGCCCTTCAAACAGGCAGAGGAGGGAGGGAAGAGAAGCTGACTCTGGGTCCAGGAGAGCTCCAGGCACATTCAGACCACTGCTCCCACCCTTCATGCCAGGAAATATCCATGTTCCCAGACAGCAATCAGGAGTGCAGCCTGCCCAGAGCATGTGAGGATCTAAACTCTAAACAGAGACAAGTTTCTAGGCTACAGCAAGGACATGGAGTGTCTGCACAGGTAGCTGGGCAATTTGGAAGGCATATGGGTCAGCAGGGAGCAGCACCAAGATAAAACAAACCCATGTCCAGCCTCTTTCGGCATCATCACATGCTGAGGTGACCAAAGAAAGCTGAGATCCACCCAGAGGAAATCCAGCACCTCATGAGAATCGAGATCCTCTGCTCTGAGTCACTAATTAGTAAAACATGCAGCTGACTTGTAACAGAGATTAGCTCTGTTTCCTGATTATAGCATTTTAATACAGGATATTAATTTAAGCCCAAGACCAGAACATGGCTTAATTTTCTCAAACAACCTCTTGGCTAATGACCCTCTCAAGTTCCTTAATGGCTTAGGGCTTAATTATCTAAACATTCAGCATGAGTATGCAAGCAGTTATTTCCTAGACGGTTTCTGAGCTATTACTGTTATTCCATAACTATCAGTTATTTACAGCAGTTCCCCAAAAACCAATTAGAATACCCTTGGTGCACCATGCAATAGCTAAAACTCTGATACGTGCTTTTTTTTCATAAAACTCAACAACATTATGTTAAAAAGCCAACAAAGTAGGCCTGACCTTGTGCTGGTATCTGTTGTCAAAGGCATGCTTGATCAAGAGATTTTTTAAGACTGAGATGGCCGTGTATCGGATGTCGTAATTGTCCTGCAAGGCAACAGAGGCTTCCCTAAGAAGCATCCCCACGAGGAAGTGATGCCTGCAATACTCATCAGTTAAAGTGTACTCGAGGTTTACATCTGAAAGAAACAGCAGGGCAGTGGTTAAGGGGAATGTTCTGAGTCTGTTCAGAGCAAGACACAACAGTCAGGTAAGCCCAAAAGGCCTCGAGCAGCACTCACCACTCTCTTCCACAGTGCACTGATTTTTCAATACAGCCAGAACTGATTATACAGTTTTCTCCAGCACTGAGCTAAGTCATATCAAAGAACTTGGTGTTTTCCAGTTCAGGCTGTTCATTAATTTCAGCCCTCACTGTTTCAGCAGCACCTGAAGGATTTTTGCAGCGTGATGCTCTGCAAAGCTTCTCTCTCCAATGAGTAATTTCTAAGTCAGAGACGGCTTAAATGGGGGAAGACAGCACAACCTACTGCCTGGGGATGCTTTGCTTCTGACTGGGGGTTGTCCTGTAAACACACTGTGAGCAGAGCAATCTGGAACACTGCCTAGCTTCCACTGTTAGTGATGTTAGCAAATGCCTAATTGTCACACATCATGGTTATTACATTAGTTGGATGCAAGCTAATTGATTGGAAAGTGCATACTTAATTTGACATTAGAGGATTTGATCCTTCCAGTTGGACCTACCTACTGAAGTGAACAGTTCCACCGCAAATGAAAAAAATTTCAATTATGTGTAAAAAGAAAAGGGACAAATAAAAAGACAGCAAAAAATAAACAGGAACAAGTAATGCTCTAAATCGTGGCAAAACAGGATAGTATGTAATGTTTTAATATTATTTGTGAGGCCTTTGCTTAACTCTCAGCTTCTGTCAATCCCTTGGATTCTTTCCCATCACAACATTGCAAAACTAATTGTGTGCTGCTGGGTATGAGGCCAAGTTCGGGGCTTGCCCTGGCTGGTGTTCCCACGTGAGGCAGCACGGACAGACTAACAACCAGCCCTGCACTAGTGGGACGTTTCAGAGTCACTGCTCCAAGGTGCAGCACTCCAACTCAACAGGAGGTGTGTGCAGGGCTGTGCTCTGCCAGCCTGCCCATCTAAACTGGCTGAGGCTGCAGAAAATCTCTGTGCACCTCCCTGGGGGCTATTCCTTCTTTGCACAGAAACAGAGCAGTAGAGCTTTGGGCAGCCCCTCTCTGCATCCAAACAGGCTGAAGAAGAGGTGAGACACACCAGCAGCGTGTGCCCTTCGTACCTCTCTATCTCTGAGCCTGCTGTCCCCTGCAGCCACAGGTCTGTCCCTGCAGCCAGACAAGTTTCCAGTGGAGATGCATCCCCACATGGCTCTGCCACGGCAGGCAGGGCTCAGACACCACTGCAAAGGCACTTCTACCACAAGGGTGGGCAGCTCTGCTGCCATGAGCTCAGTGTGAACCTCAGCTGGTAGGTCCCAGTCACAATAAAACACAGGAGAAGAGCTGTCCTTACAGCTTTTCAGTTTAACCATCACAAACACAAAGGTGAATGTTAACCAACAAAGAGCATCCTGATGTTACCACACCACTAACAAGCATCATGGAAGCACTGTGGATGTGGTTTTCTTTGTTGTTTCTAGCAATAATCTTTGTTAAATAATGCCAGGCAAGGAGCCAAACTGATGTAAAAGATTGGCAGCTGGTCCAGAAAGTTCTGAGGGGTCAGATAAACACCAAAATAAGGGGTATTTCCTTTATTGCTGCTTCTGGCACCTGCATGTGTGTGGAACCACTTTGGGAGTTTTATGGCTCCACCCTGAGGCACAACTAAACATCCCCTTTCCTCCACTAAAACAAATTACACAATCATAAATCCACAGGGCTTTTACATGGGGGAATCCCAAACCTCAGTCTCCTCCCCAGTACTTGCACTGGCTGGGCTATTGGCATCCAAACCTCGCAGTCTTCAATGCATTTCTGCAGCACTGATGGGACATGAGGACCCAGAGAGAAGGAGTCTGTCTGCAGCACTCCTGGGGGCTGGTGAGGGCTGCATGGCCACTCTGGCAGAGCCCCAGCCACCCCACCTGCCCACAGCCTCAGCCCAGCCCCTTGTAAGCCCCATCTGCCCCGTGCTGGGCAGCTTCAGGACAAAGAGGACACGAGTGGCAGCAAAAGCAGCTGGATGTGCACTGGTGCCACGGTACCAATGCCTTTGGTAGGCACCAAGGACAGGCACAGACTCAAGCTCTGCTGCCTGCAGGTTTGAGAAAGAGCTCAAACACACCATGCACTTCCTGCTGCTCAATATGGAAGCAAAAGGTAACCTAGGTCCCCTTCTGATGGCCACAAAGAGAGCTGCCAGCAGGGCACTGGGTTCAATCTGTTCTCCTGCATCTCCACAGGACGCCCTGATGACACACCCACTTCTCAGGGGATGCTGGCACTCCTGAGAACAAGGATTACATTGCACAATCTGTGCATTTACTGGAACACAGGCAGCGTCTTCCAGATATTGTTAGTCCCATGTAAACTTAAATATGGGAAATACTGAAAAGGCAGACTGCACACAATTCTGCAATAAAATGATGTAAACCTGACAGAAAAGCATCTTCTCCTGAGGTTTATGTCCTAACCAGGACATACATTCCATTAACACCAAACCAAAGTTAGTCAGAAGCCATCAGGCTAACAAATCATAGCTCTTTAAGGAAGAACATACCTTGAACTCTTTGCAGCTTGGGTTTGGAAAAGGTCATTGGTAAGTTCAGAGGAATGTAGTGCTCATGATTGCAAATGGTTTGAAGAAATTCAAACTTGTATTCAACCAGCAACTGAGATTAAAAAAAGACAAACACAGACTATGTTTTTGGTTTGACCCATTTTGTTCCAGTTCAGTGGAACTTGTTGCACAAGGATTGGAGAATCTAATAAATAGCATCTGGTGAAATTGATTAATCATTGGCAAATTTTTGTGTTGTTCTTCCCAAGTGTCAGTGCATAAGGGTGTCACTTGGAACTTCTTTGTCTTTTTCATCCAGTTTATTAACCAATCTTTCCTTTCATTCTGACACTTTACATTACTTTAAAGTAATCTGGATACAGGCTCTTGGCCCAAACAAAGAGGTCTCTGCCTCTAAAAGATTTTGCAGAAAAAGAGTCTAAGAGGCCTCCAAGAGTTGTATAAAGTAATCACTACAAAGCTTTGGCTGATATAGATATGTACAGCTGCAAACCACTTTCCAAGAAACCTACTGCTTACCTTAGGGTCTTTTGGGCTGAATCCAGAAATGTAATCATTTATCAAGTTAAAAACAAATCCTCTGTCCATGAATGTCAAGCAACGCTGGAGAAAAAATAGTAACATGTGACCAACCATTACAAATTAAAGCAATCATCCTAAATCCCCTCCATGCTGCCATCCTGTCAGCAGCCAGWTTTCATCCTCTGRGTTGCTGCAACKCTCCATAACATATATGATCCTGTTCCCCTGAAATGCTTTGGATGACCTTACTTAAGTCTCCAGTGAACAACAGAAAAATTTAAAATGAGAGTACACATATTTCAGGTTCCAAACAGTTGCTAGGTGTGCCTGAAACCCCTCAGTAGAATACTGAGTTAGTGTCTCCTTGAAAAGAGAAGGTCTCTTTCCTAGGAAAGCTTACCCTGTCCAGAGTTAAAGTAAACCACATTTGTTTGCTTGCTCTGTATTTCTCATTTGCCTATCTTCTTCCCACCCCAGTTAAAATCCTGGGAGAAGAAAAGAAGCTGCTGACCTTCAGGAAGTTAGCCAAGCTGAAGTTGACATTCCTGGACTCCTCAGGGATCTCGTTATAGCGGATGGTCACATGAGGAATGATGGCCAGCAGCAGCGAGTGCAGGGCGTGCTGGTAGGACTCAGGGAACCTCTGACCTCTGGGCAGCTGAAACCAAGAGCACATCCCAGCTCAGTGTTGTGAGCCAGCAGCTGGGGAGAACTGAGCACGAGTTCTTTAGAATTTCTTTTTGTTGCTCCCTAATAAAACAGTGGCCAAAGAGAGCATTGGCTGCAACTGCAGTACGTAGTAACAGAAAAGGAGGCTGCACAAGCCTCTGGAATTCTTAAGGACTTCTGGAATTTTTAAATTACAATTGAGAGTGAAAGCAGGAAGAAGAAAAAGTGAAGTGAAAAAAAAAAGAAGGTGGGCTGTTCAGCTTGGCAGGTGTTTCTTAAAATAAAGAGTCACGCAGATTTTCAGAAAAGCTTTTGGAGGAGTTTGCAACAGTTCTGTAAGGCAGCATCGACCAAATTTATTTTTACCTTGATTTTGTTTTCTTCCAGTAAGTACATTGCCATGGACTTTGCCAGCGCTTCAAAGAAGAACCACGAGTACTAGAATGGACAAAGAATACTATTACTTCTCTCAGCAGGATGGAACATGACTGACATACCCAGTGTGGGGAAGCACCTGTGTGGGAGGGAGAGCTCACATTCAAATGGCATTTTGTAAGCATGGCTGTGCCTGCACAGTTGGCTTGGAATAGGTACCTTTGCTACTCAGATATGTCCTGCCAGTTTTAGGGTGGGAACAGACCTACCCTATCTGCATCCCAGTGCACCCTGCCAAGAACCAGAAGAGTTTGGGGTGCAAGCCCTGCAAAGGCCCAGAGAGGCACAGTCTGCCACCCTTCAGGTGACTGGAGTAAGACTGGCAGAATGAAGAGCCTTTTGCTGCCTCCTGCCATAAACCTAAACAGGGGCTCCCTACAAGAATTCATCTCTTTTGTGAGAGAAGAGCTCAAGGATGTGGATGTGAGGAGGTACCCTGGCAGCTTTAACCCTGCAGTGGGTTTAGATGCGGTTAAGTGTTGGGCTTTACACCAGACCCCCTTTTCCTCCCCTCACCCCTGCAGCCAAACCCTGCCAGTACTTCACCTTGAGGAGCTTATTGATGGCCAGAAAATCTGCCGACTGCTTCAGGATGGTGGCCATGGAAAGGACCAGGATTTCGTGGGTCATCTTCGCCTGTTTGGCACTGGGTTTCTCAGCTCGGAAGACATACTGGGGCAAGAACAGCAGGGTCAGGGTGTGCCTGCTGCCAGCAGGGAGTCTGCAGGGACGGTGTCTCATCACTGACCTTTATGAAGGAGCGCAGGTAATGGTCCAGCCCTTCCTCGTGGCACTTGGACACGATGTGCAGGAGAACCCTGGGGAGAAACGTGGCTGTGTTCAGCACACAGAGAGAGGGCAAGCTCCTCCAGCTCACAGGAGTCACCGCCACGCGTGTCCCATGCTGCCAACCCCAAAAGCCTCACTGCTGGCAGGGCCTGCTTTGCAGAGCACCAGCTCGTGCAGCCAGCACCCCTCACACACAGCTCCTGTGGCTGCACCAGCCTCGCCAAAGCACTCAAAGGTGAGGTGGCCAAAGCCTCTTCTCCCCTTTAGTGCTGGCCCAGGAATTGCCCAGAGCAGCTGACTTTAGCACTCCAGGCTCTTTGCACGAGGAGGTGAGATGGAACATTCTCTATCATTGTTATAATCTGACACCTGCTTCCACCCCCAGAATTGATCAATTCTGGAAGCCTCCTTCTATTTTCTTTTCTTCTATTTACATCATATGCTCCTTGTTAGATGCACTAGAATATTTTGGGCTGTTGCCTGGCAGTTCAGGAGGGTCAAGCAGACCCTGGAGAACATGCCAGCCCTCTAAAGCACTCCAAGTGGCTGATCAAGGCAGCAAGAGCCTGGTTTCCCCAGCCAGCACTGGGGATTTACATTCCAGTCCCAGCCAGAGAGAACAACAAACCATTGCATGTTGTCACAGACCCCACAGGCCAAACCACAGGGAGGAGTTTACAAGCCATTTAACAGATAAAGTGAGTTTTAAATTCCACTATGAAAATCTGATCAGAAAAGAGATGCCCTTAAACAGAAAGCTACTAACAAACCAGAAAGCATCAGGCCAAGCTTTGATAAAAATCTCTGGAAATGAAGGTGGGAGCTGGTCACCCAGAAGGAACTTGGGGTCACCTGTTCCTCTGTCCCTGGTGTTCAAACAGAGGGGAACTGCAGTGCTCCACAAAGGAGGAGTTCTCATGACCCGCCTCACATGGTGCAGGGCTGTGACTGTGACAGGCACCACATCCCTGGGGAGCAGAGCTAAGCCTCCAGCTCCAGCTCCATGGGAGAGGGCTCAGCCTCCAGCTCCATGGGAGCAGAGCTCAGCCTCCAGCTCCATGGGAGAGAGCTCAGCCTCCAGCTCCATGGGAGCAGGGCTCAGTCTCCAGCTCCAGCTCCATGGGAGCAGGGCTCAGCCTCCAGCTCCATGGGAGCAGGGCTCAGCCTCCAGCTCCAGCTCCATGGGAGAGGGATCAGCCTCCAGCTCCAGCTCCATGGGAGAGGGATCAGCCTCCAGCTCCACTCCATGGGAGCAGGGCTCAGCCTCCAGCTCCACTCCATGGGAGCAGGGCTCAGTCTCCAGCTCCGTGGGAGCAGGATGCTCCTGGCACATGGATGCACGCTATCCACTGGGACCAGGGGATGACATCCATCTTCCCCTTGCACCTCACTGAGGAGGCACTGCGGCAGGAAGGTGGATGTTTTGGCACATCTCTCGGTGCCAGGGAGCCGCTGCCGGTGCCCGGCAGGGAAGGTGCCTTTGCTGGAGCTCCTGCAGTGCCTGCCCGGGCCGGTGCTGCCCTCTCGGGGCCGCCGGAGCAGCGCTGGAGCTCCGAGCCCGCACAGCTGGCACAGCTGGAGCTGCAGCAGCCCAGCTCCGGGGCACCGGCAGCGCTCCTGACACCGGGACTGGCGTGCCAGGATGGCACCAGGACACTGCTCCCACATCTGCTGCTGCAGCTGGGACACGCCTGGGCACTCTGGAGCCTTTTGATGACAACAACAGCTGCCAGAGCCACCAAACACTTCCTCTTTCGAGAAACAAACCAGGAGTAATTTTTAAATACCGCGTTTTTCCCCACACAGCGGTCAGGACAAGAGCCCCACAATGCTCCCAATGCCACCCACATGAGCCAGGGGAGGACAGCAGCAGGGGACAGTCAGTGCTGCTGTCCTTTAGCAGCCTGTACTGGGAACCAGACCCTGCTTTGCACTGCCATTTGTGCCTCTGCATTCATCACTGGGTGGTTCACCCCACACTCACATGGTGCAGTTGACAGCTACTTCATCCTCCTGCGTCACGTTGGTGAGGACTCTAAATAGTTGCATAAGAATTACAGGTAGAAACTGAATCATTACTTGGATCTCCATCGCGTGCAAACACTAAAACAAATGTTCAAAACACAGACACTTTTAGTTCAACATTTTGCAGATGTTAAACATTTACAGTCCTCAGACACTTCTGTGGCAATGGGACAGGCATTAGCAAAGGCTCCAGCTATGACTTAATTAGAGGTCACATGCTACTATTTGATTTGAAAAGTCCAGAATTTGAGGCCAAAGTTTTGCTCTCAGGTTTTCTCATCACTTGTGCCACTTTTTTAAAGTCCCATTTCCACAAATGCCTTCGGAGCATGAAAAACTGCTGCCCAATGACTTGCAGTGAGACTTTTCTTTTCAAAGAGCATAGTTTGCTATTGAAAATGGGATTTAAGGGACTTGTGGAAGGCCAGGTTCATCTTGTGCATACACTCTCCACCTTTTCACAGAGCTCTTGTGTCTGAAGCTCACGATACTATTCTAGGAAAGATAATGCATTGCATTTTCAGTTTTCAAATCTGCAAATCTAATGACAGGTTTTAAAATCTGTGTCTAGCTATTTAAATTACTGACATTACTGAGGTGAAGGTGGTTAAGAATCCCTCATTGTGGTGAGCACATACCCATCTCAGTCTGCAGGCTGCAGGGAGGGGGCTTGGCAGGGCTGGGACCTGGCAGAATGCTCACAACAAAGCTGAGATTGCAGTGCTTGCCTTCAAAACCTGCTGCTATTTCTATTTCTTAAAGTATTTGTACATTATCTGACACACATTAAGTAACTCTGTGGTGATACTTCCCCACCACTGGAAGTGGAGCTGTTGCTACAGCAGCGCTCCCAAAAACAGGCAGTCATGGAAGGAAACAAGGACTGTAAATAGCCAAGAATGATATTCCCTGCAGGAGCCCTTGCTGGATCTGCTCCAAAGCCCTTACTCATGCTGCAGTGATTACCAAAAAGTTGGGTCTAGGTCATAGGTCACCTCTGATCAAATTTAACTGGCTGATAATCTCACGTATCTTTTTTTTTAAACGTGAAAAAAAATCCTGTTTTGAGTGGGCTTCCAGAAAAAAGGATTTTTTTCTATTTTTTCTATTTGCTACAGTTTAAAGGCCTGAGTCAAACTTGGAGCAGCAAGGGAGGAGGGTGAGAGTCCACCAGGAGGAGGCGTTTCCAAGAGCACGGCAGAGAGATGCTGGCTGCTTGTTTTATCCTCTGTGGAAGGCAGAGGGAAGCAGCACACAGACAATCGTCTGACAAGATAAAATGAATGTAGGGACTTGGAAAGACATTCCAGTTAAACACCAACCTATCTGATGGGATAAAGCAAAAGTGAGGGCACTGCAGAATGCAGCAGCCCCAGCAAGGGCGTGTGGCCCCTGGGCAGGGGCTGGTCTTTGCTGACAGTCTGTGAAACACAAAGCCCAGCCACAGGCACTTCACCTTGAGGTATTTCACAAGCTCTCCTGGCACTTCCTTGGCTCCTGCCTGAACCAGCTGGCAGTACTGGAAGAATTTGTGCAAGTGCATGTCCTGGAAGAGACAAACAAGTTCAATGCAGCAGCCTCAACCTTGGTCAGCCCCCGCTGTGCCACTTACACTCAGAAATCTGGTGACTTAACCTGCAGCACAGGGCCACGTCCCCAGCAAGCCCCATGTCCCTGCCAGTGGCATTCCTGTCCCCCAGCTGACATCTCCCAGGACTGCTCCCCGTCTTTGCCAACATGCCCATCCACTGCTCAGCCCCTGCCTCCCAATTAACCTCAATATTAAGCACAAAGCTCCCAGCAGTGTTAAAATTCTCCTGTGGTTGTAGTACCCTGAGTCCCAATCCCCATCCAACACTGGCCTGGAGAAACAGAAGCTCTCCTCTCAGAAACTCTCTCACTATCTGCATCACCACCCTCCTACTGTCCATCTGAGGCAGACTCTCCTTCACATTACTCTCCCTCCTCCTCCTCGGTTAAATTTAATTACTGGGTTATTTAACCCTGAAAAGCATCTGGAAATGTAATTTGGTGGGAAGCGCAACTACTGTGCTGCTCTCAGTGCTCTACAGAATCAGTAAAGCTCCAAAATAGACTCAGATGCTGAAAGCAATTTGCTCTGAATGTAAATGTAGCTGATGACATCCAGCCAAGGGCATTTCCCCAGGAGCTGTGCTGACAGGAGGTGCCCCAGAGCCTGTGCTGGGAATCTTTGAAGCACATCATGTGGAGCTTAGAGAAGTCCACCACTACTGTAAGACAGCAGAATGCACTAGGACTTGGTAAAGCAGCCTGAACTGCTTTCACAGTGAAACAAGGACTGATGCTTTCTTGTCTCTGTTATTGTCAGAGAACCTTTTCTTAAAAAAACTTAATAAAAAGTCTAATATTAGCTTGGATTCACTGATCCTAGAGGCCTTTTCAATGTTAATGATTCTACAATTTGGGGAAACCTCTCACACCCACCAGCTGTTCTCTCTTTGCATCCCTGAAGCAGCTCATTTGCTCAGATGTTTCCTTGGTCCTGCCAGTTACAGCACAATTGGCCAAGGAAACATCAGCCTCTCCCTAGGCTCATTCACTCACACAACAATCTCATCCCATCCAGACCAGGAGCAGATCCCTGCAGCCAATCCCAGCCCTGCTGCTCACAAGTATCTCAGTGCTGCTCTGCAAACCAGGCACCTCTTTCCCAAATCACCTATGGCTCAGCAAAAATAGGCACTGCAATCTCCTCCTTTGCATTTATGCTGGAAGTTTTTAAGGTGCTGGACTTACCTGGGTGTAAATGGTCGAGTCCAAATGGATTCTGATTTTAAACAGGGGCTTTGCTCCATCCACCCACTTTGCATCCACACTGGGCTGCTGTGAACAGAAAACATTCAAGCGACTGGGGTGAGAAGGTGGCTCTGTGCAGACACGCCAGAAGGCACAGGGGTGGAAGAAGGGGTTCACCCCCAGCACAAACACCACTTTCCCCATGAAAACATGCACAGAGCAGGTGCTCACTCCTGCTCTGTGCCATCTGCAACAGCCCGGCCCAGCCTGCCACAAAAAATATCTCTGCAACCTGCATAAGCAGGGAACGTGGAATTAAAGGTGTCCTGTCTCCCACCCCTAAGAACTTTAAGCTGCAGAACAGATCTGTTCAGCTGAGCAGAACACCAAAAGAAGCCCAGAACTCAGAGTGGTAACAAAAGCTCAACTTTCCCCTTCCTTTTTGATTGAAGCCCATTTCAATGACCCTCCTACCTTGCGTGACTCGGGGTCTGCAAGGCCCAGGTAGCTGGCTGGGAGGTTGGAGGACACGGGCAGCTGCCGCTCCAGGGTGACAATGCGCCCGTCCTTCAGCAGTGGCACCCAGGCGTATCCCACTGCGGAGGCAACCAGGGCACACAGTCAGCAGGCACACAGGGCTGCAGGATCAGCTCAAAGACAGCTCTGTCTCACCCTGGGAAGCCCAAACTTGCAGCTGTGCAAGTGGCTCTAGCGAGGGAATCAGCCACGGCAGTGTCATTAAAGCACCTTTAACCTGGTGAATGAATGTCACACACAGCACAGAGCAGGAGTGGGTCTGAGGGGCAGGAACAGTGTGTGAGCCATGGCTGTGCCCCACGATGGCTCCTTTGAGGGCTGGATCCATGGAGAGGTTTCCCAGCCAGTGGGAGCCAGGTGTAAGTGTGCCTGGTGTTGGTAGGATCAGCCCTGAGATCCTGAGCTCACAGCAAGTTTCTACTGGTGATTTGCCTGACAACAGCACATCCGTGCAAGTCAGGTCAGGGACAAACAGAAAGAGCTGTCAGACTGCAGCAACAATTTGAGTTTTAATATAAACTAAAAACATTGAGTTTATTCCATTTTAGACCAACGGTTTGGTATTAGGTTGCTTTTAGAAAGGACAATTCGGATGGGCTGGTATTTTAATCGCATATTTTTTTCATGTCCCTACATTTGTTTTATCTTGGCCTTTTACACTCCAACAGAAGTAATTTAAGCATTGAACATACCTTGAGTTTCAACGGTGTCCTGTTTTTTCGATGTTGCCTTTGTATTAATTTCACAGCTGACATGATAGAAGGTGAAAAGCAAATGATGCTTTTGATGGAGGTGAATTGGAAGCTCAATTTTAATCTAAAATGATATCATGATAGATCAGACTGTATTTTTAGTTGCGGAGTAATATTTTAGTTCTATTTCATTTCACAAATGTTATGTTGTATGCAGTTACACAAGACACATTCTTACTTATCTTAAATAACTCCTAACATTTTCATCACATTTGCAACATTACTTATTAATGGGGGTGTGTGATTGGAGTGCACAAAGCGTGACAGTAAAGACAGCAGAAAACAAACTGACATTAAAAATTGACAAAGGCTCTGGCTTTGCTGAGCCCTTCTGCTGAGGCTCAAAGGGCTGGTGATTATCTTTACCCATTTTTCACCCAGCCCTGGAAAAAGAAGTATCCTGAGAAGCCCCTTGGCATTGTAGCATCCAGGAAAATGTGCCGTTCCCCACATTTGGCTTTTACCTCATCGTAGAACTCCGGGCTCTGGTTGTGGTGCAGCACGGCAGCGTACGCGTTCGCTGTCAGGAGAGGACCCCCGGGTTTGCCATATATGCACTGCAACACAAATGAGGAGCTGAATTCAGGGCCCTGCCACYCTAAATGAGCTGGGCAAATGTAACCAGTGATCCTGGAAACTCAGTGCTTTCCTCCTGCCCTGCTCAGCCTGGCTGGCACAGAGCACAYGGCAGTGATGGCAGAGATGGCAGCCCCGTTAACGGGTACCCACCTTCAGTGGCCTGGCATCAGCGTCATCCGAGTCCCTGAACTCAACACACACTGCAATATTCCTCGCCTGAAAGGAGGGAGAACAGCAGGATAAGCCACTGCTCCAGGCCAGCAGCATCGCCCCAAGCCTGGCTGCAGGTCAGTCCCCTGGTCAGTCCCCAGGTCAGTCTCCTGGTCACTCCCCTGGTCACTCCCCTGGTCACCCACCTTTGCAAACACCTTCTGGTTCTCGTACTTCAGGTGCAGGGGGTAGACATAGAGGTGGTTTTTGTACACGGTGAAGGGGTAACAGTATTTTGCAACTTCTGGGACAAGCTCCTCCACTTCAACTGCAACGTCCTCACAGCCCTTCTCAAAAGGTTTTATAGGAATATAAGAAGCTGTGACACAATCTGGAAGAGAATAAGGATAGAAAAAAATAGGTCCACTAGAAAAGCCTTTTGGACAGAAGATCAGCTTACATAATCTGTGATAGGAGGTGCCAAAAGCACATGGAGTGACCCTGAACACATCACAAGTCCTTTCTTTGCTCCAGTTTCTTTAAATGCAAGACAAAGAATCACATTGACCACATTTGTGAAGCCCCACAGTGTTATGGATCAAAAATGTCACATGAGACTGGTACAAAAGCAGGCAGCTGGCTTCCTTTGGATTTAGAGTGTGATGGCCAAAATGCAAAGCAGATAAACCCCTCAGGTAAACCCCTGCACTTGGMCACATCTCCTCCACAGAATGCAGCAGAAAGACTTACAGGTCAGTGGCTGTGCTGAATTACTCATTTCTCATTGCAGCCACAAGAAACTCTTGTTAATAAAACAGCAAAATCCCCCCTGGAAGCATTAACTCCTGAGGCTCAAGCCACCAGCACTTATGTCAAGAACCCAGATCCTTACTTGTGAAGTCCAGTGGGATGTCTTTGATGATGATATTTAACTGGGCTGGAATGACCTGCAATTTTGTCTTCTCTGGTCTGCATCAGGGAGAGAGGAACAAGAGTGTGAACCTTGAAARCTCAGGTGCTGAGCACATCAGCAGCACTTTTTGTTACCCTCCAAGCATTTTAGAAATTGTCATCTCATGCTTGCACTCAACTKTTTAAAAATGCATGTTAAAATGCCTGCCCAGCCCCTGCACCAGGCTCTCACACTCACTTCTTATACTCTGCTAGAAGCTTCAGCATATCTTCATTTGAGAGTTTGCCACTGTCTTGCTTGTACAGGGGTGAGAATTTTCCATCAGCATCAAGAGTGCCCTGGGAGTCYTTGAAAACTGGTCTGCAGAAAAGAAGAGGTGGATTTCCTAAATGTTGGTACATCCACAGACACTGAGGTGTCTGACACTTCTGAAAGGCAGCTCAGATGTGTGAGATTCTCCGGGCTGTGACTGCTCCCAACACCACAGCACCGACTGCTCTCCCACCCTGACACGGTGCTGAGACCCCACCCAGGCTGCAATCCTGTGTATCACAGGARATCACAAGGAACATCACCCATTTCCCCTCCCTCCAGCCAGACCAGGACACATTGTGCCCATTTCCAAGCCTGGCCCACAATCACAAACACCCTCCCATCCCCTCCCACTAACACCAAGAGGCAAAGCATCTCCCTATTTGCACATGGGATCAGAGCACAGAAATCATCCTAGGGAAGGAGTGCACAATAAAAAATAGTTTTGGGACACACATCAGCTTCCTTCTGAAGCCAGAGCAGGAGCCTGGACTCTGCCCTGGATGAACACCAGCACCTCTGCCCTTGAAAATAAAGGTGTCTGTGTATACTAAACATTAAACATCTGCACTCCCGTTCTGTGCAAACACTTTCCTCTGAGACCCACAAGGAAAATGTTCCAGGAATGCAGAGCAACACAGCTCCCTGCACCAGGCACTCAGCTCCTCGGTGTCCAAAGGCAGCTCTTCACCCAGCCCACTGTGACAGCCTTCTTCATTCCCATGTCATTCCCATCCCTTTTGTCAGCACCAAAATTCAATTTAGCACTAGGAGGCAGTGGATGATCTTGCYTTCAGGCCTTCCCCTGACTGAGATTCAAGAGAGTTAGCACTGACATACTTTATCAGTCCCAGTAAAAGAACAGCAAGGGAATGGGATCACTACCTCCAGCCATTCCCAAGAACATTAATTAAAGCAGAGTTTAAGATGRAAAACAAACCCCAGCTGATTGCCACTGCCAGGCTGGGAAATCCTCTGCTCTCATCCWGTCCCTGGCAATGGCTGGTGCCAGGAGGGAATTTCTGCAGTGATTCCCTGGGTAGCATGGGACCGTGTAATTTGTCCCCAGGAATGTTCTACCCTGATAGCAGTAACAACAGGTCAGTAGGAAGGTTACTGCCTTCCCAGCACTGTTTACTTTTTAAAGTTTTGTTTCTAATTCCAGATAGAGCATTTCAGGCCAATCCCAATTTTGTTTTGGGAGTGGGAGCCAAACTCTGCCCTGGCTGCAACTTCACTAACTTCAGTCACTTGGCCCTTTGCCCAACCATGTCCCAGGTCACTCTGAGCAGCAGCAGCAGCAGCAGCTCCCACCGAGGGATCAGCCCCACTGAGGGATCAGCCCCACTGAGGGATCAGCCCCACCATGGGCACAGCCCCACTAAGGAATAACCCCCACCCGAGGCACTGACCTGGCAGCCCATCCGAAGGGCATCCGGTACTGCCCCAGACGGCTGCACACCTGCTTGGCCACCTTATGGACCTTCTGGGCAGTCTGCAAAACAAGAGAGAGGCAGGTCAGTGTGTGCCAGGGCTTCCATCTGCCCTGGAGAAGGAGTGAAGGGTGCTGCAGTCTCCAGGGAGGGCATCTCCCCGCTGCTCCCTGGGCACCAGTGCAGCTGACACATCCTGTGCCACTCACACCACCCACAGCTGGCACCTCACAACAAACGTGGTGGCACAGCAAACGTGGTGGCAACAGTCATGTTAAACCTCGTCAGGATTAAACTGTCTAATTAATACTAAGGGTATTAGAGCTCTATTTGCCAAAGGGTATTAGTTTATTTTCCAAAACTGACCGCAATTGGCTCATCCTGGACTTACAGAGTGTGCCAAGGAAATGCCAAAATTACCAAGTGTTCTATAATTGACTTTTCAGGAACTACTCTTGACTGGCTGCAGCAAGGCAGCAYCAGCTCCACCTGGCGTGCAGAGCTGATGCTAATGGCAGCAGCAGGGCCTCTCYCTTGGATGTTAGGARAAATGTCYTCACTCAAAGGGCTSTCAAGCRTTGSAACAGGCTGCCCAGAGAARTGRTGGAGTCACCAACCCTGCAGGGATTTAAATACAGGTARATGTGGTGYTTAGGGACATGATTTACTGCTGGGTCATTGGTTGGACTCAATGATCTTAAGGGTTTTTCTCCAAGATAAAGGATTCTGTGATTCTGTGCAGACATTCTGGGGATGAGGTGTCCCAGTTCTTGCCACCAGCCCAGGCTGTGCCTTGTTGAAGTGCAATGGGAAAAGATCCCAACTGCTTGGCTCTTCCTAAAAACCTTCTGCCTCTTTCTAGGGGAAGGAATTGAGTGTCCCAGGACAGCCCAGCTGAAGCCATCCTGGCAACAATGCAAATAGATGGACAAAGACTGCATTTGCCAGGAAGAAACTGAAGAGCCACAGAACAAGCCATGTTCAGCCCACAGCAGCCCCACTCAGTGGACACCCCATGGCCCCAGCCAGTACCTTCCCGGGGTCCGAGTTTTTCATGTAGGGCTCCACACAGTGGGCRATGCTGCCCTGCAGCACCTTCTCCACACGGGCCACCAGGAAGATCTCCACRTGCGGGTCGGTCACGGAGAACACACCCTGCAACAGAGAGGCACGGCTGCCACACAGCCCGACCCCCATGGGCACCATGGGCTTGGCCCTGACCATCCCCTGCCCCGGGGATGGCCACAGGGGCCCACCAGGCTGCAGCATGGCCAAGCCTTGGAAAACCATCCCTGGCACCTCCCTGGCACTGCCAGCGAGCCCCGAGCGGCARCCTGGACACTGAGCAAAGCTCAGGAGAAAAGTGGACCTCTGGTTACCCACAGCGGATGGCAACACATTCCAAAGCCATGAACAGCCTCAGCAGTGCACAGGATGATGAGGAAGGGATCCTCACCCGTCTGATGTAGCGCAGGCAGGACTCAGGCACGCCGTGCACGAGGCTCTCTCCGGGCGGGCGCCCCTGGGTGCCCTCGGCCCCGGGCTCGGGGGTATCCAGCAGCATGTCCCGCACRCACGGAGGGTTCAGGTCCACGTGGAAGTCAGCTGAGATCTTGCGATTATTCTTCAGGTCGAACAATGCCAAGCTTAGGAAAAAGGGCTCAACCTGGAAATGGGATTGAATGTGTATGTCATAAAACATGCACGGCACGGGCTCAGGAGCATCAACATGCACTGCCTTCCCTGATAAGGAAATTGGGAACCTTCTGCTTCTTTTTTTACCCCCTGATTTGCTACACCAGCATTTTGCAGAACTCTCATAGACAATCCATGTTTATTTGCTTTATAAATATACAGATCCATTTTTTTTACCCGCACCGCCTTGCATTTTCATTCAGTCAGTTTGAACAAAGCTATATGAAATCTATATGTTTTCTACTTAGGTGGTAAGCTACGAATTCAGGAAGAAAATATGAACTCAAACCATCAAAGCTGTTTATCGTTTTGCAATGAGAAAGGAATTGGTTTAAGAGTGTCTATGGTCATTTATTTTCCAGAGTCAAGCAGCCCTGGATGGCTCAACTGTGACACTCAAAATGCTCCTCAGATGCTATCCCAGGAGGGAAGTTAGCTCTCCCAGCCAGGAGAGCTCAAATACAAGGCTGACACTGCTGAGAAAATGCATGWGCAAAATCTGCCAACTCCTTTGTAGCTACTGACCTTGACAGCACRAGGCAAGTGGCAATAATTCATGTATTTTTAATTTAAAGACCCTAGTAGGCATGCATCCATGGAAAGATAAAAATGCAGTCCTGAAGACAAAACTGTAGCATGCCCAAGACATTACAGCATGACTTGGAGGCRTTACATTGATGCTGAAAATGTGCTGATTAGGTCTCACTCTGGACCTGATTAAGGATGGATAACAGGAATCTYTGCCATTAGCAATGCTTCCATCTGCTGGGAGTTACTGAACCTGGTGTCGTGTATCTGTGAGCTGCCAACATGAAACCATCACAAAAAACCCCTTTGTGATTCCACCAGGCATCAGACATGGCAGCATCAGCAGGGATGGGGCAGGGCTGGTGTCTGCCAAGCACAGGACGTGACAACAGGGATTGTATTTTGGGAGCAAAGACTGGAGGAGACTGGTCTGGCAGAACAAAGGCTGAGGTGAAATGTAAAAGCTGTCTACAGACATCAGAGGCTCAGAAAATACAACAAAGAGATTTTTGGGCAAAGGCACAACTTTGGCACAACAGCAAATGCATATAATAAAGAGGCTGTGAGTGCAGTTAGGCTGGGAGTCAGAAGAAGGTTCCAGAACAGGGAAGTCCCTTGCCATTAGGGGAAATGAAATAAAACACAGCCATGAGTGGTTTGGAGATGGAGCTTAATCATTTACCAACAGGACTTCCACAGGGACCCAGGATTTGGCAGGCACATGCTCCCCTCTCCCTTTGCCCCTGAACCACTGGTTTCCAGCAGTCCTGGCTCCTGGCAGGCTGAGGCATGTCAGCACAGACCCRTCCCCAAACACATTTTTGGAACACCAAAATACCAAGGCAAACAAATCCTGCAATGACTCTGGGCCAGCAGTCCAGGTCTCACTGGTGCTCATGGCAAAATGGGATTGTTTTATCCACCCAGACTAATTTGCCAAGGTATTTTCTTGCTCATGAGGGGAAAGAAGACAAARCAGGACAGGCTGGAGGTGCCCTTACATTGGTGGGTCCTTCTTCTGCCCTGTCACTGAGCTGAGCRAGGAGGTTGAGGGAGAAGTCCTGGCAGCAAACCACAAAGCGTCTGCTGCACTTTTCCTCAAAAGGCTTCACATCTGGCTCAATCCCCGAGAAGTCGAGTCTCTAGACAGCAAACAAACAAATCTGGTCTCATTAAAAAAAGAAAACAAACCCCTGAATAATGTTAAGGGATCGCATTATGGTAAATACCATCTTAATATTTTTTACAGTGGTACAGAAGGTACAAGGCATTCATAAATGAGTGACGTTACACAAATGTATCTAAAACATTCATGGGCCTCCATCAAGTTTTAGCAACCTTTTTTGTACAGCACAGCAAAATAAACCTCAGAATTATTTCAGTTCCTTCCTGATAYGTTGTAACCTTGGGGATCTTCCCAAACACCACTTAGAGCTTGGGGAAGAAAGAGGAACATAAGACAACATCACAATCAGAAAAATATCTTCAACCATGAAGGCAGGACTGGGCTAACAGATGGCCCCTCGTGCCTGAAATAYTGTGAACATCTCAAAGAGGACTGAATGCCTGCTGTTACAGCAGATCTGACTGACACCAGRATGAAGATACTTGGGCATAGAAAGAGTGAATTCAGCCTAACCATTTGGTTAGGGAAAAAAAAGTTATCTTAGATGCTCCAAACTGAATAATATTTCCATTTTATTATCTGTCCAGAATATAGGAAGCTTCTCAAGGCTTCTCTTCAAAAAAAAAAAAAAAAGAGAAGACACTAAAAAGCCTCCTGGATGCTTATCTTCTTTCTGTTAAAGGCTCTAAAGAATTGCCAAGAGAAAAGCTCGTTTTGTACAACTAAACCTTTTAAAGACTAATTACATTTCCTTGTTAAACCAGAATGTTCCATTTCACAGGTGTGAACATGCCAAAGCATGCCAGAAGGAGAACCAGAAACCATGACATCCCCTGGAACAATTCTCTAAAGCTCTGTTAGCAACTGCAGCTCRTTCCACTGAAATCCCACACCCGGACCCTGGCAGGGAAAAAGCCAAGAAGAAAACTTGCCAACAGACAATGTCCCCCCACTGCAGTGCATCAGAGCAGCACAGGGTGATTTGTCTGTTTGTCTGTCCCCACATTTGAAAACCCCTGAAAATTGAGGCTCTCCCTGTAAATCCTGTCACAGCTTTGGCACCGCTGCTCCAGATGTGCTGAGCACTGCAGATATCTGTGCAATGCCACTTCTCCTGCTTCTTCTGCACCCATGAGAACCTCCYAGAGGCCCAGAGGGTGGGTTTGAAATCCAGCAGCATCAAGAGGCATCACCAAAGATCCAGCAAAGCTGGAGGGAGGCCATGTGGGGCTGCTGTGACTCTTCCCTGTATTTGAGCAATCACCTGAGCACTGACATCTCACTCTGCTCTCACTGACAGGAGCAGGGGCTGCACTTCTGTTCTCCACTGGAAAACACTCTGCTTCTGCAGGGAAATGCTGTGGCCATGCCAGGGAGGCACAACAGCRAACAAAACCTCACACTGGAAAATGTGGGGATGTTTACCTGGACTTCTGGGTCGAAAGAAAAGATGTTTTGTCTTCCATCATTTCTGCTCAGTTTGTTCAGCTGATCTGTTTCTCTTCCATACTAGGACAAAGGAAGGCATTGACATTACTGCCTGGCCACACAGAGGCAAACAGTCGTTATTGGGAAAGAATCAAAACAAAATAATTATTTTTCAGGTTGCCTTTGTGATACATGAGCTGATGCAAAGCTCTGACATGGTGCAGGGACAGTACAGAGATGTGGCTGTGCTGAAGGAAAAAGCAGACAGAGCCAGCCAACCACACATGGAGGTGAGGAATGTGCAGCCTCAAACCATGTGGCTCCATCCATGAGAAAYAGAATAATAATGGGATAATAGAAACCCACCAGGAATTGATGCCTGCCCAGAGCTGGAGACACAGAAAGCAAGCAAAAAACCYCTCTCACAGAGAAGCTGGACAGAAGCTGTGGGTGGGGAGAGCGACCCTGCAAAGACAATACCTTCATCAGCTCAGGATGCATGCTTCTCTCCAGGCTCTCCAGGATGTTCTCTGACTTTCCCTGCGTGCTCGATTCATCATCTGCAAGGACACGAGAAACAGATGTTCAAAACAACTGCAGGAGCACTGCTCTGCCAGCAAGCATCCTGCAGTGTTTGCTAACAATAGCACAGAAACAGTTTACGGAGACTTTTCCATTCCTAAGGAGTAAGATTTTTCCATGCATTACCAGTATCAAAGTGTACAATTACAGCCTGCTAGGTYTGCCCAAAGCASAACTTCAGCACAGAGCCAATTTTCCAGGAGCCTTGAAGCTTTGCCATGGATTTCCCATCCAGGAGAAGGGTCATGTTTCCCTCCATTTTTATTCCTCAGACCATCATCTGTGTATTGCTAAGCCCCTCTGCATGACACTGAGTGTCAGCCACAATTCTTGCTTTAAACACAKCACAGTGTAGATTCCTCCAGGCTTGCATCCTGCTGGGGAAGGGAGAAGGTAGGTGTCTGTTTACAAACTGACCTTGCACAGATTCCACAGCATCCTTCTTCTCCTGCACCAGGCTCTCAGTGTTGCTCTGAATGATCTTCCTCAGAGTCACCAGCCATTCCTCCATCTCCTGCTCYGTTTCAGCTGCGAGGTAGTGGCTGTACTTGTCTATTGTCTTCAGCTCAAAAGCGTAGCGGCGCATTTTGGGGCACTGAACAAATGAGAGATTTGTATTCACACCCTCCTCAACAACCCAGAACAGCCCCTGCCACACAGCTCCTCCCTGGGAAAGCATCCTGAGCTCAAATATCACGAAATACAATGCAGACACCCTCCCTGACACAGCAATCCTGCTGCAATCACAGAGTTTCACAGCTTGAGCAGTGCACAGGTCCACGACCAGCGACTCTGAGTGACAAAAAAACAGATCGAAGCACAGACATTGCACCAAGGAGCAGGAACAAGCTCCTTCTGATGCCATCTGACCTTTAATATTTACCCAGAGAAGCCAGGAGCTGGATTTGTGTGACATGGTAGGAAATGCTGTGCTCTGGGACACTCAAGGCCTCTATCTCAAAAGGATATGGTACAACGCAGCTTTTTGGAGCTCTGCTGCCCTTCAAACAGCATTTTCCAACTAAAAGCCAAGGCAAATCTGACACAACTTGGGAAGTGCATCCCATACATCACCRAGGCGTGTGCATCACTGCTTTTACTGTGTTCAGGAGGATAAATGGAAACTCAGAGCTCTGACTCATCCACGCTGAAGCAAACCACTGGGGTAATTTAAACCACCCTGCGCCAGCTCCACCACCCTCAGTGCTTGAAGCTCTGAACAGACAGCAAGGGCAGAAGGCAGAGCAGCAATCCCCTGCTGCACTTCACTCCCACACAACTCAGCAAACCCAGGATTTAGACCTGTACAAATCCCTAAACCCTTACAGCCAGCCCAGAGCAGATCCTAAATTCCAAAGGACTGCATGCTTGCATGGATCTATCACGATGTAACTTAAGAAACAAGAAGTTGGTGCAAGCAGCAATAGAGGAGGGTTGTACCCAAGACAAAGACAAACCAATTACTCACTGGCCTTTTGATCAGTTTAGCTGACCAGMTTTGGTTTAGTTTACAATTCCATGCCTTCAGACCTCGAGAGAGCAGGTCCATCTCAGAGCCAGCAATCCCAAAGTCTGTGCAAAGCCACACAGAAAGGACACCTACCTGAACCACATCATTGCAAGCATCCAGGAAAATGCAGCCTTTGGATTCTTTTGAAATTTTTTCATCTTTGTAGGAATTCAGAATATAGGAGCCATCTGTGAGTTGTGACAAGTAAAAATACCTCCTCTTGAATACCTGTAAAAATAAAAAATCTTGCTCAGGCAAGTATTCACTCTGATGTATATCACAAACCATGGGTTTCCATATCTGCCTTCCCTGCTATTGAGAAAACACTGTAATACAGTGAAAACACTGCTGACCCTGGAGTGTTGCAGATTCACCCTTTTGAACATGGTTTGCTTTTATAAAGAGAGATTTCCATCATCTTCTTTCATTTTAATGCCCTTGTTATTACAAGTTTGCCCATTCAAAGCAAAGCCCCAGGGCTCCCAGCCCATCTCTCAGGTAGCTCCAGCCTCATTTATCTTTGCACAGTAATGCTGCACAGTAAATTCAGATCACCACATGACYTGAAGATCCATCTCACCCTAGAGCAGGTATTTCCAGAGCCTTTTTTCATATAGACCTCAGCTAGAATTACAAAGCAATTGTCTGGAAGACWTAGGAACAGACATGTGGAAATTCCTAGCACTCAAATGCAAGCCAAGGGACAAAGCAATCCATTCAACTGCTTGGGTTCTTTGTGGCTTTTGGGGTTTTTTWAATACAAATTTATTTTCATGAACTGGCTTTGGCTTAGGGTTTAATTCTTATATCAAAAAGCAGAAACTCTGGGAGAAATGCTCCTGTGTTTGAACTACTGATTTTCACAAAGGAAAAAAAAGCTCTCCAGTGTCTCTGAACACCTTTCTTCGTGCTTGTCAGCCAAAAGCCACTGGACTATAATTCAGGAGAACATTTTGGCAGCAATTGTGGCAGCACCATATGCTGTAAGGAGCAGGGTGCATTTCACAGTTGCTGGGTATCTGCGTTAGGAGAATCATCATGAAGGAAACCCAGACAAGCAGCACTGCAAGKATGTCTGCTGTTCTGTCTATCTGGAAGATCTATGAATAAACACAGCATTTTTCATCCCACATGGGAGATCACAAGTAATTTCCTGCTCCTGTCATTACTGACACTAGCACATGTTCCTAAACYCACTCACTTGCAGAGAACTGGGAGGGAGCATCGCGCCCTGAACCGTAACCCATCCCTTCTGTGGTGACCTCTGGCATCATTTGGATGATTAATTAGCTGTAGAGATGYTCCATGGGTTGTTGAGCTTTAAGTTTTATAAGATTTAACTAAACCTTTAGTTCAATGGAGCATAAAAATACATGGAAAGCAAAGGATGTGAAGCATTAATCCATCCTAAACACTGATTTAGCACTTCACTGGAGCAGTCTCARGAAATTTGGCAGTGGATGCTACAGAAACCCATGACAGATCTCTGTCTAGATATTACAGGGTTGATATCCCTCATGGTTATGGGATTTCATGTTAAACAGTTTGCATCTGCTGAACTCTGTTCAAAAGCAAATGCAGAATCAAACAGCAAATGTCATTCCTGTGATCTTCCCCCGTGCAAGCACTGCTGTCAGAAATCACTGTCAGCAGACAGTGATCATTTGAAATTAATACCATAAACCTGGGAGCAGGGGGAACATCCCCTCTGATCAGGCTACAGGAGCTGCTGGTGAGATTGCAAAGGGATGGAGGGATGGATGGATGGATGGATGGATGGATGGATGGATGGATGGATGGATGGATGGATG